TACTGATATATTATTCATTTTTTTTTTTAAATAAATGAATTGCATCTAAAAATAAGAAAATCAATTCCTTTGAAATTTAATTCATTTTCATATTTATTATATTTTGTAAATCGTTTTCTTTAATCACAGGACCAATGCCAAATAAAATAAATCACGTAATTGTTTCTATTTTGTAATTATTATTATTAAAATAACGTTTTTTTATTGACATTCCTGATTGTTTTTTTTATTATCATTATCTTTAAGTGCTTTAGGAAAATCAATATAAATTGATCTCTTAAAATAGCACATATAATGATTGCCTATTCTAAATATATATTCTTTTCCTTCAAATTTATCACATTATGTCGTTTATTTTTCAATGACTTCCTCATAAAATATATTTAAATCAATAAAAATTATAAAATTTGATTTTATGGTTTTAAAAAAAAAAAAAATTCTTTTATATTATTAATTAAAATAATTATTTTACTGTGTGAATATTTTTTCATATTAATGTTATTTTTCCGCTTTTTAATCCGATACGCTTTTAGCATACTTTCAAAACTAAACTCTTTTACTTCAATTTCATCTTTATTGTTAAATATTAAATTATTTCTATGTTTCAAACATTGTAAATTCTGTTTTTCATAATTTGCTCCACAAATTTCATATTTTATTTGTGGTATTTTAGATTTTTTGAATTAAAAAAAATCTTTCTTCAAATGAAATAGATTTTCAAATTCTTCAGCATTTTTACGTTTTAATGATTTTTTTATATATGATGGTTTATAATATTCAGGGGCCTGATTGCCTAGTGATAAAGCTCGGTGCTCACAGTCTTCGGGTTCGAGTGCCGGCGATGCCATGGAAGTTTGTGATGGTTTGGAATCCACTTTAATCAGTAGGTCCCTGTATAATATGACCGTAGAACGTTGAGCGTAGGGCTGACATAAAAAGAAAGCATCGCATGTTTGGGAATGTACCAGTAAGCAGACGGTCTTAGCCCACCATGGGACTGTTGCGACATTGAAGGAGAGTTTATAACATTCACAACAACTTTTACATTTTAATACGGATTTGAAAACGAAATTGTTTTGAAAATTAAATATTTAAATAAATTTCTTTTTTTTTATCCGATCTATAAATCGCAGACGACAGTTTTTTTTTTTTTCTATTCTTAAATATTCACGAGATGAGCATGCGGGTCGGTTTATAATCTTGCAACCTGGACTCGTGTTTCATAGCAATCTATTGCAATGTTACAAGCAATGCATGCACTTGTTTCACAATCTTTTTCTAAGGGCATGCTTTATTTATAAGGAAACCTTTTTAAATATAAGTCGGGCGATCAAAAATGTTTTCGTTCTGAAAGGCTTTTAAAGCGGGAGGGCCACCATTCTTATATGCCTCTCTTTCAGCATATATCCCGCCATCTGGTGGCAGTACGATAATTCGTTCAATTTCGTGTGGGATTCGTGATTTATAAGTGATCCATAAAAAAAAAATTTTTTCGATATTATAATCTTGCAATATTTCATCTTGATTAATCCATGCAATTGTTTCACAATCTTTTTCTAAGAGTATGCTTTATTTTATGAAACCTTTTTTTTAAATATAAGGGGCGATCAAAAGTTTTCGTTGTAAGTGGAAACGTCGCCGATGGGCTGAAACATCGAAGCATGAGAATCTTGTGAATTGGCGAGTGTAAGTGGAAAATGCTGAAACATTAACAATGGCGACGTTAGTACCAAATACATCCAAACAGAACTAACGGGCTTGTTGATTTCAAGGATCCAGGTGTCTTCCTGACTGGAGAACTGTACTGTGGAACGTTGCAGAGATTACGACTTGCCATTAAGGTGAAACTGCAGGGAAACTGCCGTCATTCTGCATCATGATAACGCAGTCCCCATATCGCAAATGTTGTAAGGCAGAAGTTACACTCACTAAAAATTGGGAGACACTCGAACCCTCACCTTACATTCCGGATCTCATCGCATCTGATTGGACGTAGAAGTGCAGCAGGCAGTTTCAGACTTCTTCAAGCAGCAGAAAAAAGGAGTTTTATTAAAGGGGTACGTTTCAAAGTGGGACGATTGCCTAAATGCTGAAGGAAATTTTGACTAACTGTTAAACTAAATCTGGACTAAATACTGAATTCGAACGGAAATGTTTTGATCACCCCCTACTACTTTTTGAAAATCGACTTAACATACTATTTCTACACTTTTTAATGCGAAAATTACTTCTTAAATATATTCTTTTATGACTACTGCGTCCAAAAAGTAAGACCAATTTTCAATTTAAAATTCCGGGGCTTATGGAGTTTCAATTTTTTTTTTCTTTTTAGGTTGGTGGCACTGTCCTTGACATCTGTGTGAAATTTCACGTCAAAATATTCATCAGTGTTTGAGTTACGCTTGGCTTTCTGAGACGCTAAAACTGATTACGGCGATTTTTGAAATGTCAGAATTAATTGAGCAAAGGGCTTGCATTCAATTTTGTTTGCGGAAACGTATAAAATGTTGCAAAAGGCATTCGGTGGACATTCCTATATCGGAAAGAAATGTTTAGAAATGGTATAAACAGTTCTAAGAAGGCAGAGAAAGCGTTAAAGAAGGAGACCATCAATCCAACCGACAAAGCTCACGTCCAACAAATTAAAGATTTGGTGTTTGAAAACCGTCCATTTACAATTAGAGACCTTGCTGATGATGTTGGAATTTAAAAGGATCGGTCAATTTCATTTTGGGTCTCAAACGCGTCAAATCTCGATTGGTACCGAAAACACTGAATGCGCTTGCTCGCACTGCATTGATTCTTTGTGACTTTTTCACCAAAAATGAAAACCTTTATCGTTCCACAACCACCGTATTCATACCATGTAACTTTTGACTATTCGTTAATCTCAAGAGACCACCCAGGAACACCGTTTTGAGTTGATTGAAGAGATTCAATGTGAATCACTGCGCGCTCTGAGGCCATTCCTGCCGATGACTTTTTGCATGCATTAAGGATTGGGAAAAAAAGTTGGCATAAGTGCATCGTGTCCGGAGGGAATTACTTTAAGGCGATGAAATAAATTCAGAAGAATAAATAAAGAATTTTTGAAAAAAAAATAATTGGTCTTACTTTTTAGGTACAGTAGTATATAAAATAATACAAATAAAGTATCGAAAGATCTATGTCGATAAAAAGGTACTACATCTGTAGAATCCGATGAAATGTCATCTCTGTATATTGTACTTCAAAGTATTGGAAAACAAAGAAGTAAAAAAATAATCTCATATTTTACCATTTAGATATGACTGAATGTTGGGTGGTAAGAAACGGAAAAAAAATTTCATAATAGTCATAATAAAATGAATTTTGATGAAAAAAGGGGATAATAATTTATGCACAACTCTTTTGAAAACAGATTTAAATACTGCATTAAATATTTCGATTTGTCCAAATTTCTTTTATTTTGAAATAAATAAATAAATGTTTTTTAAATATGAAAATAAATTCAATTAGTTTTAGTAGAAGAAATAATTAGATTTTTTCTCTTCATAAATGGCTGCTTATTATCCATTTTTTATGAAATAAATGAAGAATTTATACGCATTGTAGCATTTTTCCCACGGGAAGAGTTGTAGCATTTCGTTCCCAGAAAGAGGAATGTACATTCTTTAACAAATGCATAATAACAACCTATCAATCAAATTTGACAGCAGACAAGCAGTATTGTGGATATTTATATTACATGAAATTAGTGTCACGTTCTAATAAGAACAACTCGTGGAATTAGCGATTGTCTGTGCGACCGTCACAGGTCGTAACAATTACAGACTCGATATGGACTACGTAATGAGTATCGAATTGGTTATAGACCATGGGAAGATGAGAAGTGAGGGAAGCTGGAGAATTCTGTGATCAGAAGTGTTGTCTTTTTCTCTCTGAAGTGCCTGAATAGGCGGGAGTTTCCGCCTGTTTTCAAAGTGAGCCTCTTGTGGTTTCATGTATCACGCCGTGTGATAATTAAGGCCTGCCGCAGACGCGTGTTTTGAGATTAGACGTAGACACGAGAAGGTTGATAATCTCCGACCTTTGGAGAGCTGCACTTGTGGTTTAATCGTTCACTTGTGGTATAGCACTATATATATATATAGTGCTTGTAAATAAAACTTCAAGTGTTCCCATGAATCTAAAAGTGGCCCTCTTTCTTGCAGTCGTTATACGTCTAATATAGTCCGAGACGTTACACCCTCCATCCATGTGCTCGACAAAAAAAAATGTATTTAAGTAGCATTTTGAACATATAACGTTACGATGTTAAAGTTTCGCCATTTTTTATTCTCAGAATAATCTCCCTTTCAATTCAGTTCTTGTTTGTGATTTGATTCATTTTAATATTTTGAAACAAAATATATTGGCACTCTTTGCGTACACCCTGTACAACGAACAGTGATGAGAGTATGGAACCTGAAACTGAAGAAAACACGTAGAAGTTGAAAATCTAATAATGGACAAAAAAAAAATATGAAAGGAATCACAATGATAGATCTCTCAACTACATGGTATAATTAAATATACAGCATTTTGAACGTCGATGCAACACTACCAATATGCAACGCTACTACTATGGAACCTGAAACTGAAGAAAACCGTAGAAGTTGAAATTCATTAATGGATAAAAAAGAATATATGATGTAATCACCATGATAGATCTCCCAACTACAAGGAATAATGAACCATGCAACTTTTGAATGTCAATGCAACACTACCACTTTGCAACTTACTTATGCAACGCTACCGTATTGCAATTTACTTAACATGTATCACATTGCAAAACTTATGCAACGCTACTACGATGGAACCTGAAACAACACATTTTACAAAAATTTTATGGCAATATCATGATTACTCCATGATTTGTAAAATGTGTTGTGGCAAACTTTTGAATGTCAATGAACTATATTTGTTGATATACTTTTACAGCAACATTCAATTACTTTGCCAACGGTCACCATGCTGAAGAAAACCGGTTCACGTTAATGGATCAAAGAAGTCAAGCATCATTGGGCGCGGTCAGTACTTGGATGGGTGACCACCTGGGAACACCGCGTGCCGTTGTCTTTTCAGAAATTTGGGACCTGAATGGCGGAGTGTCTAGAGCTCTGGTGCTCGATGCCACAGGTTTCCCAACTACGGAACCCGGCGGTGCCACTTTTGAATGTTTGCAACACTAGTGGTTCGGAATCCACTTTCAAGCCGTAGGTCCCGGTCTCCTATGACTGTAAGAGCGTCACGGAGCCAAAGTCAGACTTTCTCATTAATGGGTGCTCCATCACAACAGAAGCTGCTTCCTTCCCCTTCAATCATGAGTACGTACAACTTTTTGAATGGGTCAATGCACAACCAAGTGGGATAAGAAACAAACAAACAACTTAATCAACAGTATCACATTGCAAATTTACTTATGCAACGCTACTACGATGGAACCTGAAACTGGAGAAAACCCGCAGAATTTGAAAATCGGCTAATGGATAAAATAAAATATGATATAATCACCATGATAGATATCTCAAATGAACTATACATCGTTTTGAATGTCATTGCAGCTCTACTACTACGGATCCTGAAACAGAAGAAAAACCGTATAAGTTGAAAATCTGTTAATGGATAAAAAAGTATGATGAAATCACCATGATAGATCTCTCAACTACTACAAGGTATAATGAACCATGCAGCTTTTTCAATGTCAATGCAACCCTACTACTGTATTGTTTGATCAATGATCCGGATCGTATCCGCTCGCATTCTTTTTACGGAGAATAGTCTTGACCCTGAACCACTGACATATCAAGCTACAATGGACGTAGCTGGCATTCTGATTGACACCAGGTTGTTTTTCATTTTAACCCGATGGCCTCGCCATTCTCCAACGCTCGTGTTAGAGCAGACTCCGAATGCAGTGGTGTAAAATGCCTCTGGTTATAACAGGCAAATACCAGTGAAATGAGAATATTTTCATCAGACATCATCTCCTTTTTTAAATAAAGTTATGGATGCAGAGATCACACCTCCAAATAGGTCACAGATAATCTTTTTTCGACTCAAGGAAATATTTAATATCAAAACCAGTTTTGAATACATAAAGCTATATTTTTATATCAAGATATTAATTAGAAAAAATTTTTATGCAAGTTGGTATCGCTCATTATTGTTAAATGAAAATATAATGCTCTATGAATACAAATTGCAATTAAGATGACATAATTAAATCATATGTGATGTAATTTCAAATTCGTAACTTATTAAGGACAGATGTCATTTAATTTATGCGATATTTATATTGGTGAATAATGCTTTGAATCTGCGCTTACGATAGATAGTCATCTTTAATTAAGAATAAAAACTGATATTAAAATTCTTTTAGATAAATTATTCACCATAAAAACATTATTACAATGCTAAAATTTTCTATTTTGTGAACATGAATTACAATATTCGTAGAAGTACTTAATCCAACTTTTGATAAAGTGTTTTTGTTGTAGTGTCTAATCCGCAGCGTCATGCAGTGCGGGACGGAGAACCTCTTGGGTAGCTTACACATGAATAGAGAAAAAGGGGCATTTCTATTGTGATGGAGCACCTGTAGGTAGAAGTCTGACTTGTCGCCGAAGAAGAAGGGCAGGGATTTTCGGAAGGACATTTAGGGGAGCTATCCTGCATTTCAGTATCGCATGGGAGAAAACCCGGAAAAACTCCCACCAGGTAGTTTGATTCACGAGGCAAAGATGCGGAACGCCCTCGAGTCTCCTCGCTTTTTGAAGCAGTGTCGACAACTGAGCCGCGAGTGCCATTAGTCGGTAATAGCAGTTTAATAATACGTTAACAATTGAACAGTTTGACGAGAAGCCATTCATCCACAATTACAATAACGATTATTTCCATTGCCGATATACAAAGTGTAATATACAGAGTATAACTTCATTTGTAATTCAAGAAATGAATAAGTAAACAGGAATTCTCATATATGTATTCTGTGTAAAAGGTATCCGAAATTGTTAAATATAACTATAAAAATAAATTTATTCCTAAAATGATTTTGCTGTCTTTTACACTATGCCCCATCGAGTACCATACAATTACGACAGAACTTGATTCAATCCTCCGTGTATTTTTTGTAGGCTGCTTAAGGTATGGCTTTCAGATCCTTCAACGATTCATCTGCTTTTGGGCAAGGCTCATTTTCGAAGCATCATTCCTAAGATTCATTCGGGGCTTGTTTGCATTTCGTACTCGTAGATCCATGTCTCGTCTCTCGTTATTATGCGTTTCATGAAGGCAGAACTCGGCGAATCATGTATTCAGCGACCTACTTTCGATGCTCACTTCGGACACAATTAAGCTTTTCGGAACCAGTCGCGGAGACACATTGCATGCCCAAAATATCAATTACAACCTTATGGAAAATCTTAAAAGATGCATTAACCTATTATATATATATATATATATATATATATCAACTTGACTAACTCCAAAATGGGGAAAGCATCCTGAGTTTACAATTATAGTAACCACCTTTTTAATGCTCTAAACGCTGTTATAACTGGATATTTAATTCCGTAGACTTTTAGAATATGCAATAAATGCTTTTAGAATATTAAGAACCCATTTTTTGATATATTAGAGATGGCAAAAATTCTAATTTTCTTCAATTTTTTTAAAAAAGACTAAGCAAATTGTTTTCTATCTTCCTTTAGAAGTTCCAGGTTTGAATCCTAGCGATATTATAGATGTTTGTTAGTTGTTCGGAATCCACGTTAAACTGTAGATCCAGGTCTAATTAGTCTAAAGTGTGCAAAGCGACCGTAGAGCGACAAACCAAACAAACCTTGAGAAGGTTAATTATTGCAAAAAAATTTTTAGAAACATCGGTTTGGATTTCTAGAAGGTATAGCAACAAACGAAACAAACCTTGAAAAGGTTGATGATATTTAAAGCAAAAGTTATTTAGAAACATCAGCTTGGATCTCTAGATATAAGAATACGAAAATTACCAGAAAGCCAATTTCTAAGCCAAAAATAAGAGAGAACAAAAGGGAAGATTAAAAACGTCCAAGAAAATAAGACATCATTAACAGGAGGAAATGGAGACAACTTAGTGTTATTGCAAGCATGTTTTTTTTAAATTAGATCGATTTCCGGAGGAGGTTTTTCTCGAAAAACATGTAAATTTGACAAGAAATTGCACGTTCAAAAAAAAAAAAAAAAAAAGAAAATGCACGTTATAAGTACAACTTTGTTGTTTTTACCATCCTGCTTATCTTGGGTTTGTTAGCTTTTCCGCTTCATCTAAGAAAAGGCATTACTTTTTTTTGTAAAGACAATCTTTTCAAGTTTAAAACTTCTTTATTAAAGGAATAGGTTATATTCTAAAAAACACTATTGTAAAAAATGAATAAATCTAAAGAAAAAAATTTAATTAAAGTTGTTTACAAAAGCACATTTAAAAAATAATTAATGTAAATTTAAAAAAGATTAAATTATGTTTATTCACAATTTGTTTTTGCAAAATAATTGATAAAATAAGAAGATAATTTAAAAATTAAATCGCATATCTCCAATTGCATGAGATTAACTTATATGCTACATATTAAAAATATCTAAAAATTAATAAGAATGTTATATGATTTAATGCAAAAAATAAAATTGAAAAAAGCGTTTTTCATTAATTTTTTTGTTGTTCCATTGTTTTGTAAAGGAATAATATCATTCAAATATTTTGACAAAAAATTACTAGAGATTCAATAAATTATTTAAATAATAAGGTTGAGCTAAAAATTAATTTTTTCATTATTCAGTAAGTCTACAATGAGTAAAAGTATTCAAACATTGTTTGTATTTATAAAAGTACCTGAAATTCAATCCTTGAAGTAAAATTTTTAACATACATACGATCATTTGTTTAGTATTTTTCGTTTCATTTTAATTAAAAAAATAAAAGACTTACATATTTACACCAAAAAAAAAAAAAAAAAATCTCCACTAAATTCATTTGAAAAAAGCGAAAAGGAGTTTGGAAAGTACGAAAGATCAACTGTAAATGAACTTCTAAAATGTTTACAAACTTAAATAAATTTATTTGCATTGAAATACTGAAAAGGTAAAACCATTCTTGATCATGGAACATACCAATTAAATACTTAATCCCAAGAGCGTTATATAAAAGCTTAAAAGTTTCAGTTTAGTGAAAAAAAAATAAAATTTTAAGAGTATTTTTCAAAACCATTCATTTATTTATTAGATACACCATACAAGCTGAATTTTTTCAAATTATCAGTGGAAGAATAATTATCATTAACATCAAATGAATTTTAAATCCCAATATTAAATAATTCCTTATGCTAAAGCCGTAAATCCAATGCTTTGATTGCTGTGTACATATTGAATATCATGCATCCATTACCAATATCCATTAGGCATCTACAAATACATTCACAGGGTCTACGATGATAACTCGGAATAGAAGACAGATCACCATTAGCATTCCTCTATGATTTATTATTAGTATGATTCACTGAAGCACTTGATAAAGAGTTTGAAATGAGAACAAATTATATCCCTTATCAAGAAAAGAAATTAAGAGAATGACCATAAAAATCTGTCTTTTACTACAGGGTTATTAAACAAGCAAAGCTACTTGGCTCTCAATGAATTTTAAAATATTATTTCATACCTTTAATTCTCTCTATTAAAGATGGCAGTACGGTTTACATTTAATAAGTATGACTAATTTCTTATGTAAAAATCCATTGTAATAGTTTCATAATGAAATTGATTTTATATGTAAACACATTGGGCACCTTTCTAAATTTCTTTAAATGACTAGAAGCGGAAATCAGCAATAACTAAAAGGCTATGTTTTGTTAGACCACCATGTTTTGAAATCTAAAATCTGTCATCATCACTTACTTAAATGGAAACATATATTATCTAGCTGAAATACTGTTCACGTATCATTGTAGCTTTAGATTGGTCTGCCTCTCTACGGTTATTTTTTGCACATTTTAGGCTAATTTAACAGAGACTTACAGTTTAAAGTAGATTCCGAACCAGTAACAAATA